ATAGCTCAGTTGGTGGAGCATAAATGATTGATTTGTGGTGTTTAACGTTTCAAAACCACCATATATGATTATGAGAGACGCCGTAGTGGAGGGCTCCGGAAATTTCGACCATCTGAGTTTCTTTAACGTGCACCCAAATCTGAGCACACGGGCCTGCAACATTTTAGCCTCCATCAGAAATGCAGCCGCCGAAGCCGGGATTCAAACCCGCGGCCTGCGGGTCAGCAGCCGAGTACCTTAGCCACTATATAGACCACCGCGGCGGGGCCTGGTGGAGCATATGGTGAGTTGTTCGAAAGTTGCATGTTCGGCCCCGTACACACCAATGGCAAGTCGTATTTCCGTCCTCTTTTCTTTCTTCACGCGTACATTGCAATTACTACTAATAAAAAACCCCGTAATTTCCTTGGCATCATGGTTTGTTAGTTCGCATTATTATTGTGTAGTAAGAAAAAAGAGTCCCTTAAATATTACCTCAAGTAACATTGTTTGAAACTTGTATAGAGAAGAAAAACATTTTTCGTTAAATGTTTAATTGTGCAAAATTTCATAATAGTTGCTACAAAGTTGTTAAGGCACATGGTCTTGAAAATATTTTTTTCCTTCTTCCTATATGCAAGCAAGTACACGTTTCTGGCTAGAGTACTCCCGAGCGAGCGAGGCTGATAAGCTTGAACACTTTCACATAAACCCTCGCAATTTTCGCCGTAGTTATATGGGTTAAAGTGAACAAAAGACGTTTCTGAACAATTATTTTTCAGTTAACATAGGCCATTAAAGTATTTCTTTACTACTACAAAATTTGCGCATCTATTTTGCTATATATCACACGTGCTTATTCATAATTTCTGTAAATTTATTGATAACACAGTGATGCTTTCTCTGAAATGATAGAATCCTGTACTGTGTATCGTGCCACATTGAAAAAAATGGCTTCACCGTGGTCACAAAGCCAGGTGCCACCACATGTAATGGTATGCAGGCACGTTTAAGCCACTAAAGCATATAGGGGAGGTGCTGCTGCAGCATATAAGGTCCTGTACACTTGTGCGAACAATTCGCCCCCTGCAGGTACTGCAGCGTTCTGGATAAAACCGTTATATGGACAATAATTATTGTAGAAACATACATGTCAGATTAAAAAAAATCTTATTGTGAGATACAGTAAAGACACATTGATTAAAAACTGGTGATTGCGGAGAATGGCTAAGATAACATCCATTACTTTTTTTGAGGGGAAGCAGGGTGGTGAATAGGGAGCTAATGGTTACGTTTTAGATTGTTTCGTAGTCTCGAAAGTAGGGTAGCGGGATAACACGTTCTTCCCCCCCCCCCTTTTTTTTATGTAACGAGTAACGTATACAGTTAGTTTTATTCTATGACAATGCGCGGATGCGACTACCTGGGGTTCAACTATAGAACCTCTCTGCGCTGGAAACCAACGTAGAAACAACCTAGCATCACCTATAACTAAAGCCTTGCAGCGAGCGACCAAAAAAGAACAACCTGCATCCAAGAAACAACCTCGAAGAAACTAGATCAATCTTCGGAATTTTCTAGTTTCGCTGTTTCTAGACTTGCAGCAGCTTTTGCAAGCTTCATCATTTCTTTTTTTTTTACTCTTGTTGTTCTTCTCTGTTCAATATTTTATCCCGCTTTCGCCCCCCAAATGTAAGGTAGACAACCTAGCTAAAAAGCTCGGTTCTTATCTCTGAATTCTCTCTCTCTCTCTCTCTCTCTCTCTCTCTCTCTGTTTCTTTCTTTCTCTGTAGGCATTCGTATACACGGACCTCACCTTTTTCTCATGTACCAAGCCATCATAGATCATCGCTCCTTCATTGCCTCCAGTTTCTCCTCTTGGAATGAAGCGTCAAAGAAAGCGTGATATCGATATTTCTTATGTGGTTGGGATCGTTGGCTACATCTTTCCTGATGATCATTGAGTATAACGATTCGACAGAGAAGTGACACTTATATGCGGATATTTCGATACCACGAAATCACAACGTCAGTGTGAATGTTCCAAAAGTGGGAAATAATCAACTTTCATGCAGTACGTTTATTAATATTGATCGCACCAGGTATGGCAACAGTTCTAGTATGTAATGGCTATACTTACTAATCTGAAAACTGCACATGAATTTGATTTCGTGTATGCGCAATTTTTTTTCAGTATTCCAGAGGCGTTTATGATATAGGTGCAACATCAGCATGTGTTACGAGATATTCTCTTCGTATGTAATTTCTTTTTCTTTCGTAAGGAACCCTCCTTTCGGAGTCGGAGCCAAGCAGGTGTCACGTCACGCTGCTGAACTCTAGGGCGTGGTTTGATTCTCAGCCGTGGCGGCCGTATATCGATGTAGAACATATGCGAAAACGCCTCTTATATATATATATATATATATATATATATATATATATATATATATATATATATATATATATACATACATACATATATTTATATATAATGAGATCTAACAGACAGTAATGCCAAGGAATGTACAGGGGAAGGTATTAGAACCAATATAATGTAAATAAGAAGAAAGAAAAGTGGATGAAAAAATAACCAGCCGTGAGCAGGAATCGAACCTACGACCTTCGAATAACGCGTTCGATGCTCTAACCACTGAGCTACCACAGCGGCCTTCCCTCCAGCCACTTTTTTGGGTTTATATGTGAATTTAGAAGTAGGAGTGACAGTCAACGCCGTCTATTTTCAGTGGTTAGAGCATTGAACGCGTTATTCGAAGGTCGTAGGTTCGATTCTTGCTCATGGCTGGTTATTTTTTCATCCACTTTTCTTTCTTCTTATTTACATTCCTGCAGCACGTGACAGACAATTACAGGCCCTTCATTATTGGCCACTTTTAGTTTCGGTTTGAGAGAGAGCCCCGACAACGAGAAGCCGCCGTTTGCAACTAGCGCCACCTACAGCGCATGTGCAGCTCCCGACCACGTCAGCAGACGGAACTGTGACACTCTTCCGCACGGTCCGCATCGAGCACCACGCTTTCGAATGGGAAACGGGACTGCATTTTCGCCAACTTGGCGAAATGCCTTCAAACAAAGCCTTCAAAGCGTGCATGCCACAGCTATAACGCGTTCGCGAATGTGCTAACTGCGGGAACAAACGTGGCGAAAGAAAAATGGCGGCTATGACCTCATCACAACTTGTTTTATTGACTGCAGCGTGGTGACATCAGGGAAGTAAGGGGTTCCCAAAGGGTCCCCTTCGAGGCTGTCAATGGCACGGTGGAGTCTATAGCAGTCACGCAAACTTCAAAGTTTATGTAAAATGCCATCTAAGCTATATTCGTTGTTGATATTTTGCAGATTACTTGTACGAATGTTCACAGGTATCGACCTCGCCAGCTATCTCAGCGGCGAAGTTTTGTGTCAGTACTCATTCAATGTCGATTTAGAGACCCTCTACTAGAGCATTCCTCATAATATATCGTATAGTTCTGACTCGTTAAACCCCAGAAATTCAATTTAGTGTAACTGACATCTCCACACGCGCCACCAGCGCACTGCTGCAGCCGTACAAAAAATTCACGCAGGAAACGGCATGTGCAAAGTACGCAGGCTTCGCCTCATGAATAATTCAGGAGGCGAGAATTGTATTGATTATGGGGCCGTCGGGTTTAACGACACCAACTGAAATTCATCTCTTTCATAACGACATACGAGGCTCCCTAAGTACACAAATGGTTTAACCAATTTGCGCAAAATGGATGCATTGCAATTTCTGCGCCGATTGTTTGGGACCGCAAGATGGAGGAGAGCTCTTCGGACTCGCTACATTGTTGTGTCTGATACCGATGACTGTGGCTAGTACAGCGGGTAAAAAAAAATAACATAAAGGGGCACTGGATGCTTTGTTGCGGGCTGCCGCTGCGGCTTTAGCGGCGGCTGCATTGTTGGCGCGACATGAAAGCAGTCGCCGCCCGTCCGCAAGGATGGAAGAGGAGCCGGAGAGGGCGCGAGATTGGCCCCAGAACAAAGGTACCGATGGGCGCGAAGCGTACGAGGTTTGCCGCAGCGGGCGCGGGAACCGAGAAGGGGGAAGTTTGAAGACGCATCGTGGTAAGGAAAAAAAACAACGCGAAAAGAAGGCTAACAAGCAGGCAGAACGCAGCGCAAAACCTTGGAGGAGCCATAAAACGCGTGCATTAGCGCCACCTCGCCCATGGCGGAGCACTCTGGACGGCCACCCCTCCTCGTCTCCCTCCGCAAACTCATCTTTCCGCGCAGGCCATCGGTTTTCCGCGCCGCGAAACCCATGATTCCCACCAAGCGAGCGCGGAGAATGGCGGCCGAGTACAGCACTCGCCCTCGCCCGATCGTAAAGCAATTAGTTAACACGCCAAATGGCGGCTGCCATTTTCCGCGCAAAGGGATCCCGCTCCGCAGCGTTCGCCAGCTCCTTTCCGCCTTTTGTTTCCTTGCCGGCGTTGTTAAGCCTCTTCTCGCCATCCTCCTATTTGGATCACCTCTACAGAGCATCGGCTCTCCCTCCTTAGACCTCCTTATGCCCAAAATGATGGCCTCCATGAGCTGGCCCTCGGGCCGGTGCTGATTGGACACGGAGCGGGTGACGTAGAGGGAGCGCCGGCCCAATGGCGTTTTCGCGCTTACTCCCCCTCGGCTTTCCCGCAGGGCACCCCGCGATGGAGGCGGTCGGGCGGCGTAACCGCCTTTTTTTCGTTCATGGTCGCGGTGAACGTGTAAGGCCTGGCGGCTTTTGATGTTTTTTGACGAGCTCGCCATTTTTCTCTCCCCCGACTCTCGCAAGCCGGTGTCGAGCATGCAGTCCGCAAACAGTCGCGCACTTGCCAAGTAGGCAGCGGTGCGACCTCGCCTGACTGCCTTTTCGCGTTGCCATCAGTGGTGCTGGAAGCGTGTGATTTTTGGGAAGCCTTGACCTGAGTGCGGTTTCCGTTTCCGCACCGGACTGAACCGGAGTTCTCGTGGTCTCGTTCGGGACTACTGCTGTGATGCAATCGTATCGACTCATGCTAGAGCACCACCACGAGGAGGCTATGAAAGGCTACGATACGAAGACGTTACTGCACGGCTCGGCGCTGCACGATAGAGGCTACGGCGACGGTTACACCAAGAATGACGGCTACTCCAAGGGTGACGGCTACTCCAAGAGTGACGCCACCGCCTACGGAGGAAAGGCGGGCGTCGTAAGGGGTGGCAGTGGCGCTACGGACGCGACGGCCAACGCCTACAAGACGAGCACCGAAAAGTGCATCCTGCTCAACTCCGACCCAAAGGAGAAGTCCAAGAAGGGTGAGACGCTGCCTTGTGATTTCTTGATTGACGCAGAAATTGGGGTCAATAAGAACAGAGTGCGTTAAGGACGCCAATAGAAAGGACAAGGTGCACTGGTGAAGACAACAGCTTTAAAAGAAGAGCTGGGACAGCTCTGTTGCTTTCTCTTCCCATTTCTGCATGCAACTTCTGCGCGTGTTTGTAGCTGAATAAATGCATAGATAACAGCCAATCCCATCAGAAATAATAGTACAATGAAGCTTGATGGTTAAGGGGCGGATGCATTAATGGATTACAGTAATCCTAGGAAATTTTAAGTGGTGGGGGTAGGGTATGGTGAAGGAGTGGGCTGTGGTGAGAGATGAACTCTTGTTCTGGTCGGGTTTACGGAGACAGGAGTGGAGTATAGCAGGGCGTCCGGCCCCACAGCGGGATGTGCTGGGTTCTTTTCCAAATGCCGCTGCATGGGTCTCCACTGGTTTTTCTAATGGGAAAAAGGCACACCGGAAAAATTGAGAGACCACAGTAATGATGCACTATTCTTCCAAATAACTATAGGAACGCAATTGCAACAGCGATAAGAGTCACAGAAGAAATTATTGACTACCTTAAAGTGCACGTCCTGGGATAAACTGAGAGTCTGTGGGATTATCATCTTAGACAAAGGAGGTACGCAAGCAAGAACTATTTTGCAAACACTTGTACACAAACTGCTGACCAGACATGAAATAGTAATGCACAGACGTCTATGCCGAGAGATATGCTTAGTAACTTAACCCCGATAGAACATATGTAGTTGGTGTTACATTCACAACGGACAACCGTAACAGGGCTAGGCCAGGTATTTATACATTACAGTGAATCTGCTTTAAAAATAGCGATCGCTTTCCCCTTATGTTAACCACCCTTTCCGACAATACTGAAAAAAGAGGTTTTGAAACGCAGAGCATGCATAGCTACGCACGCGGATGATGATGATGACGTCTTGTCTGCTTCCTCTTTCTCAATACAGGTGTAAATATGTAGGTAGGATGCCTTGAAGGTCCAATTTGTTAGCTCGGTTTTCAAAGGCGTGGACGTTAAATATACGGAACGTTATCGGCCATTATCAATCCTGATCAAAAACTGAAAAAATAACATTGACTCACTTGAAGGTATATATGTTGAAGAATATATTTTTTCCTATCAACGTGTTCTTGAGGCTCGTTGGTCTATATGGCGTGATAGGATCATTTGACTTCGCATATGAATAACGGGGCACTACTTGTGGCCAGAAATGATCGAGTAATGCAGGCGTCAGTGCCTAGAGACTATACTTGATCATTTTACTCTTTCCCCTGTAGTCCAGACACATATAATTGGTGTGTTACTGAGCCTGAATAACCGTAAGAGGGCCTAAGAGGTAAGAGCGGAATGAATAAATTATTGAATGAATGAATTAGCGAATGAATGAATCTGTACTTTGATATTGACTACATTATAAAAAAATATTCAGGAGCAACAGGCGTGCAATGCATGATGGGGCCCATGTTTATATATTTCTATAGGTCATTTAGCGGCAATTCGTTGGAACTAAAAAAAAAAAAAACGCACGTGATGTTACATATGTCTGCGGATGCAACTGTATACCGTTTTTTCTATTAGAGAAGCAAGTTGGGCTAGTTGGGGCTTATTAACTGCAGACATAACTAATTATTGCAAAAAGCAAGGTCTTCTTTTCTTTACCTTGTCTGTTGTTTTTTGCACTTATATGTTAAGTCAACAATTATTCCATAAATCTTTGAAAGTTGCGCATTTTCATTAATTTTATTTTGATAACTAAGCTAGAATACTATAATTTCTTGTATATAAAGCAGCCCTGCTCATAACCCGCACACCCAACTGCAACTAGCGGAAAACTTACGAAAAAAAAAAATCCCCTTCAATTGCCATGAAGTCACGTTTTTTGTTTTGTTTTTTGCAATTCTGTCACGCGCTGCCATGAAGCCACCTTTCACATCAATATTCTCGTTGTTTGTTATTTGTCATGTCTCAAGCAGCACACCATCTTGATTTAAAAAAAGACCTTACGAATTATAATGTTTTCGAGCATACACAGTCAATACGTATCACTTATTTAAAATCTTCGTACGTCATGCATTTTCGACTTAAATGTGATCCAAAAATATGCTCACCTCTGACATCGTAAATCATTAAGACCTGCTACCAATAAGCCTGTTTATTACACCAACATCTAACAGTCGATAGGTAAGCGACCTAAATTTCAATCTACTCAATTTGGCTAAAATCGGTGGTTGTTTAAATTTTGTGGTGCAATAGCTTGGAATACGCTGACACTTGGCACCGCAGTGAATGAATAGAGATAGTGTAGTAGCAGCGACGCATTTTTTTTTCTTAGCAAACATACAATTTCACATATACATTTTTTGACCACGTTTGTATGTATTTTTATCTGTGAAGTTCTTATCGAATCAATGACCGTGAACTGCTAATGTATGAGATTATGGGGGCTGCTTCTCTATTGGCCAGACAATTTTTGGGATGTGCTGTCTTTTTGTGGAATCACTAAAAAAACAACTATGATAACTTGTAGAACTGGCGCCCGCTACTATAGCTTTCATTTTATCGCATTCTAACACCTTCCCTTCAGCCTCTATTTCTATTCGGCCTTTATACGACGATGTGCACTACTCCATTGCGTGGGTTGCGGATATATTAGCGTATTAATTAAAATAAAAGTACGACAATCATATAATGGGCGTGGTATGTGTACAATACGTAACCTAATAAAACAATAAAGCGGAGTGAAAAATAAAGCACGTTGCGTCAGAAGTCTAGCCAAGGTCACGGAGAACGTTTGTCTCGAATCGCAATGGCGCTTTCCCATGGTGCCACACACAATATGCATAGGTAGCAAGTGTCGCTGATGCACGCGTACGGCCCAATACTTCTTTAGGTAATTGATAATGCAGTGATTTGGCCCGTTCAGTTTGTCATTCGCGTGGATATCATGCAGGAGTTGTGAAAAAGTCGGCTCTGTGATTTGTTATATACAGTTTGTGCCAGCTACCACGCGCCAAGTTAAAGGGAGAAAAAAATAATTACATTGTATACGCGAGGTTAACGTACATTTTGTCCCCAGTAGGAAAATATAACAGTAACACTGTCAGTTAGTTAGCTAATAGTAATGAATTTATTTATTTGTATGACTCAAGAAGTATGGTTCCAATTATCTAAGGGTCGATCAGAAGTTCGCACACAGTTTAAAGAAAGATATACATCATGCTCAGGATATTCAAATATATACAAATGCTCAGAATATGGCCAACCACTATACATAGCCTTCATTGATCACAAGAAGGCGTTTGATTCAGTAGAAATATCAGCAGTCATGCAAACACTGCGCAATCAGGGCGTCGATGAAGTATATATATATAAACATCCTGGAAAAAATCTACAGGGGATCAACTAGTGCTTCATAAAAAAGCAACAGAATACCAATCAAGAAAGGTGTAAGGCAGTGGGACACAGTCTCACCAATGCTATTTACCGCGTGCTTACAGGAGGTTTTCAGAAGACTAGAATGGGAACAGTTAGGGATAAGAGTTAATGGAGAGTACCTAGTAACCTGCGCTTCGCCGATGACATTGCATTGCTGAGTAACTCAGGGGACGAATCGCAACTCATGATTACGGAATTAGACAATGAGAGCAGAAAAGTGGGTCTTAAAATTAATCTGCAGAAAACGAAAGTAATGTACAACAACGTCGGAATAGAGCAGCGCTTCGAGATAGGTAATAGTGCAATTCAAGTTGTAAAAGACTATGTCTACTTAGGGCAGGTAATAACCGCAGAGCCAAACCACGAGATTGAAGTAACTAGAAGAATAGGAATGGGGTGGAGCACATTTGGCAAGCACTCTCAAATTATGACAAGTAGATTGCCACTATCCCTCAAGAGGAAGGTATATAACAGCTGTATCTTGCCGGTACTTAGCTACGGAGCAGAAACCTGGAGACTTACAAAGAAAGTTCAGCTTAAATTGAGGACGACGCATGCAGCGAGCAATGGAAAGAAAAATGGTAGGTGTGTAACCTTAAGAGGCAAGAAGAGAGCAGAGTGGATTAGGGGACAAACGGGGGTTAAGGATATCATAGTTGAAATCAAGAAGAGGAAATGAACATGGGCCGGGCATGTAGCGCGTAGACAGGATAACAGCTGGTCATTAAGGGTAACTAACTGGATTCCCAGAGAAGGCAAGCGGGTTAGGGGGAGACAGAAGGTTAGGTGGGCAGATGAGATTAAGAAGTTTGCGGTTATAAATTGGCAGCAGCAAGCACAGGACCGGGTTAACTGGCGGAACACGGGAGAGGCCTTTGTCCTGCAGTGGACGTAGTCAGGCTGATTATGATGATGATGATGATGACGACACATCATGTTTGCCAACTGCGGCAAGCGTCATCGACATACTGAGGCGCTTTTAACGACGCCGCGGCACGTACATGCTCCGCCCATCCCAAAGCTCAGCGGCGCTCTATTATATATATGATAACGTGACAACTGGTGTAGCAGCAGCAAAGGTGCTTCAGAACACCGTGCGCAGGGCCGCCTTCGCGTGTTTACAAGGGGCGGCCGCATAAGGGAAGTTTTCGGGGCCCAGCCAAGACTCTGACATACATGCAACACGTAAAAACTATACGTTGACGTGTAACATACCTCTCCTAACCTCACCATGACATTCGGTATCTGAAAATTACGAATATGAGTGAACGGCGAAATGCCGCCTTGCTGTTGTCCATAGTTTGCATGCGCACCTTTTAATTTGTTAACTAATGTAAAAGCAGACACCCTAGCCCCGCAGAACCTTCTTCCTGCGGTATGAAAATGCGTGGAGTTGGATAACGAATAGACCCATATAATCGCAATTTTTTGCTAGTTGGTGAAGACACACGAATACAAACGCTTGTCTTTGCGTGCCTCCACTTCGTCCGTGTCTGTGCATGAGAACGTTGTGAGCT